GGCGGGGCCTGGGGCTGGTCCGGCCGCCCCCCACTCACCAGGGGTGCCGCAGGGCCTTCTCGCAGGTGTACCGCGCCTCGGGGTCTTTCTCCAGCAGGTGGCAGATGAAATCCTTGGCTAAGGGCAAGCAGAGAAGGGCAAGCCCGGGAGTCCGGGCTGCTGCGCGGTGGCTCCCGCGGGGGTCCCTGCGGGCGCTGTGGCTAATGTGCCCAAGGGGTGGCCGCGAGTGCTCAAGCAGAGAAAAAGGCCCAAACCGCCGACCAGCCCGTCACCCGCCGCCCAGCCGCCAGCCGCTCCCCGGAGCCCCCGGAGTGGCTGGACCGGGGCTCGGGTTCACCTGCCCCTCCCCCGGGATGGCGGCCGGGGGGCTTGCCTGAGCCGGACCTGGCCCCCCTGACCGGCAGCGCCTGCAGCAGCCCCGCTGTGGGCGGGGTCCTGCGTCCGGGGGACCCAGCCGGGTCTCCAGGCGCTTTCAGAGGCCGCCGCCCGCCCCAGCGGCGCCTCCCCAGGCCGGCCCGGGCCGCTGCCCTGCCCTTACCCGACTCGGAAATGTCGTCCCAGAATGGGGACTCGAACTCGTAGGAGCCGTCCTTGATCTTCTCGAAGAGCTTAGACTCCGAGTCCTCGTAGAAAGGCGGGTACCCGCACAGCCTGCGGGCAGGACAGGTGCTGCGGCCGCCGAGCCCACGCGCGGCGAGGGAGCAGCGGGCGCGCCTGGCGTCCCGCGTCGGCGCTGAGGCCGAGCCACAGCCGGGACGGGCAGGCGGCGGGGCGGTCCTAGGGCCTGCACCCCACCCGTGCCTCTCCCCGCCTGCCCCCAGCCCAGCTCGGGCCACGCACCAGGGAGGGCAACGTCCCGCTGTGCAGGTGAGAGAGGTGGGGGGCAGGTGCCTAGAGAGGAGGAGAGGGGAGACCCGACAGGCGGCGCCCCACGGGCTGCGCTCAGGCCGGCTGCACCCCACCTTCTTGTTGCGTTGGCTCATGGTGCCAGGACAGAGCCTGAGCTGGCAGCACCGGCCAGCAGCTCCCAGCTCGGTGGCCCCTGGCCTCGCAGCCCCTCCGCAGAGCAGGACCCCGCCTGTGTCCAGCTTTAGGGGGCCAGGGTGCGGCGCAGAACAGCGGGCCGCCTGCACCCCACTTAGGCAACGGGCGAGGCCAGCACGCGGGAGGCGCTGGTTGCGGGCACGGGCTGCGTGTGCATGCGCGTGCGAGGCGAGTGGACTGCACACAGGTATGTGAGCACGTGTGCGCCGGCAGGAGCTGTGCGCCTGGCCGCTGTGACCGCTGTGACCGCTGCGTGCGCACACGCGTGCGCTTGGGAGAGCCC